TTCAAGGTTCTTTATTGTCAATGTAACATAGCTACAAGTAAACGAGCAATTATGTCGTTGAAAATCTTAGGTCACAGGCAACAATGCAACACAATAATACAGATAAGCAGACAATATTAAAGTATATTATATTAAAAGTAATACAAAAGAGAAATAGTTCTAAAAAAAAGTGAGAAAAAAAAGTGGAATAGTGCAATACGAGTCTATATATAAGTTATTTGAATGATGTATTAGATAATAAATAAATAATTACTAAGTAGCAGATGAATGTTGTGAAATTGTTTCAGCAGTTCAGTTGTTTAACAGTCTCACTGCCTGCGGGATGAAGCTGTCTCTGTGTCTGGTGGTATTAGTGCGGATGCTGTTTCTGGAAAACACTTTTCAAAAATGGTAGAACCAGGAAGTAATATAAAACAAATCCTCTGTACAGGATACAGAAAGGTAACAAGTGAGTAACAAGGTAAGTGTTTGATATTTCAATAATGTAACCTGTGCTTAGCTTTTCATCAAAAGCTAGACAGCCTACTGGTGGTTCTTTGGGATAAACTGAACCAAATGCTCATGTATGTTATTGGGGATATGCACTGCTCATGTATGTTTGATACTTTGTGTAGGACTGTCTAATCTTATATGTCTATAGGCCTATAGCACAACCTGGAATAAAATGTCCCATGATCAATTGAATCTCCATCACAAGTGTGATGCGTCAAGCAATATTTTTATAACCTTCAAGAAGTTGGAAAAAACTATTTCCATGCTTGGATAAAATGCTTGGACCTCCATTTTGGTTTTCATCTTCCGTGTGGGTATTTTTGGATTCTTCCCTTGATTTAAGGGGACCAGAAGAAACAATAGCCTACAATGACCCTCGTCTTTTCAGGGGGTCATTGAGTAATTAATTGTATAAAAGGAAATGGCAGAAAAATGTAGTTGGTCTACAATAGAACAAATGGGTTCATTGCATAACACTTGACTAACATATCTGTCGGTATAACTTACCTTTCTATTCACAATGTTGAAGAACACCAGCTTTCATTAAAACAGTATACATATCATATTATGTGCTTTTGGGTTGGTTGTGACTTGTGTGACTTGTGATGAAACTATTTTCTTTTGGGTTCTTGCAAAAGAGATCTTAATCCTCTGAAATTACCTGATTAAAGGCTTCCTTATATTTTACTGGTACACATATAGCACATCATATAAACATCTGCCTTGACTCAGGAGAGGGACCTTTGTCTGTTTCACAGTTTCAACAAAGGCTTAAATGGTAATTGTTTTAAAACCTAGAAATTATTGAATAATCTGCATGCAAACAAGCCACTTATTTTGACAACCAAGACCCAATGATTTATTCGACTGCCCATGTCTCACACGCTTTTGCAAAACATTTTGACAACAGCCCTTGATAGTGGGCATAGTAGGTGTAGACAGAACTAATGGGTAATGTACATGAACACTGAACTTGAACACAATTAATGGGAAATGCAAAGAACACCATGAGCTCTGATGTCATTTAGAATTGATTTAAGTGGTTTTTGAGCTTCATTTGCATGAAGTACCACTATTATTATTTTTTTTATTTTTTTAAATGTACCATTATCATCTCAACTCACATGTCATTTTTTAAGAACCGAGATTGAAGCTGTGAAAAGAACTGTTACATTTACTAAATAAGCAAACCCAAAACCCTGTCAAACAAGGTCAGTTTCATAAGAAAAGACAGAAAACACTAAGCTGACAGTCAGCTTTTGAGCACCATTTAGCTGTTGAGCCGTATAATCTAACACTGGCCAGTGTTTTAACCTGTTATGAATGTGTAACTATTCCCACGATTCAGCCCTTATGGTGACTGCATGTTGTAGCAGAGTTGGATGGAGACGGTGGGAACAAGATGTCTGATTTGCTGTTCAGCCCAGGTATACATGTATATTTATACATTTACCAATGTATCTGTGTGGCGCTAGGGACGGCAATGAATAAAATATCTCAACCCATTTAAATCGATTGCAATTAAGTTGGTATATGGTGCCCTTATGATGAAACCTAATGACTTTGGTGATCCTCTAACCTTTTATCAAGCACCAGCAATATGGTTCAGATTGCTTTGGCCAACATAAAATTAGGCAAAAAGTCCCTTTACTTACTAAAATAGGGCAGACAAAGTGGTGGGCATCATCTGGTTTATCTCCAAAGGTGTTAATTGTTCTCATAATTACTATTTGGGTTTCCATGTCTTAAACATATTTATTTGAACCACCTCTTTTTAATGAAATAACAAACATATGGTGTTTACCTGACGTTAAAACAATATCTCGTACTCATTGACGTTATTGGAACACATTCTTTTAAGTTTATATTGTTTAGTGTGTTTTTAATCCTAGTTTCCACCAAATAATGGGCTTGTTGTGATGTGCTCGGGCTTTAATGAGCACCCTGAGGCCATAACTGAGCTCACACTTCTAATGAATAATGTGTTACCTTGCAAATCTAAACATCGGCTTTGGAAAGTACACCTACTGCAATTGTATATTGTTATATGGATTGTATAAAATATTTTACATTTTTGAAGGGTTGGCGATATGGAGAAACTCTTACATTACAATAATTTCATTTAATAGAAATGAACGCCTGAACGCCCCAGCTAGACTCTAACCAGGGACATTATGTCTATCTGCATCCTAAATATTTGACTCTAAGAAATGCAAGAAGATTTTGAAGTATAGCTCACCTTGCAATCATAGCAATAAACCAAAGCCAGTCTTAAACATATTTCTTTGAACCACCTCTTTTTAATGAAATAACAAACACCAAAGACCCTCCATTGCAATCCCAACGTTAACACACACAACTTTCTCCATGTTTCACAATCAACACCCAAAAACAAAGGCCTCCTTGCCTTCAACCTCTCAGATCACAACAGCAGAGCCAACACACACATAGCAGTCACCAAAGCACAAAGCATATACTCACATAAATAAGTGAAGGCATTTTGGCTAAAGCAGCTTTAAACACAATACCACGTTCATTATAGAGTGGCGAAGTCACGCCCATCTACTTCCGCCCCACCTTATTTCTGAAAAATTATGTATTGAAGTCAATGGGGAGAGAAAGATTATCTTTCGATCCCGTTTGAATTGTGCCACGAATTACACATATGATGTTTGTCAATCCTAAAAAATTATTGTCATGTCAAAAAAGTCACAGTTTGTCTTAAAACTGTTGAAATATAAGACTATGAAAGTACGCAACTAGAAAGACTACAAATCCCAGAGTCGCGTAAGTGCTGTCATAACTGATGTATTCCCTCCAGATAGCTAAAAATACNGGGGCGTTCGATTCCAGTTTTGGATAGTCTGGCGTGGTTTCGTTCCATTTCAAACAGCTGTTTGACGCTAGGCTAACCTTGGCGCACTGCCACTCCAACATCCAATCCCAGAGCTTGAAGATTAATCACGGGGACTGTAGTCCTAAACGATAGCTGGGGATTATGGGTAATGTAGTGTCTTCGGCCATCCTAAACTCCTAGAGGCCTACGTTTGTTTCCGGTTATTTTTATTTTGAAATTCAGTTCCTGACGGACGTCAATTATGTGTTATTGTTGAGTAAATAACAGTGTGTTATTTTGAAAAGAATAACAAATTAGAACGAAAAAAATATTTAAAAAATACAGATTTCAGTATCCTGAGGCTCTCAGCCCCATTTATTTTCCTCACAGACGGCAACAAAAGTCAGAAATTATACGATTTAAAATAAAAGCAATAATTGTGGCTTGATATTGAGTAAGAACATGTTTTTATGAACCACACAGCTTTCGGTCTTCCTATAAAACGTAATGCCGTGAGAGACTACCAATAGAAATACATTGCTTTTAAAATCGTGCTGTGCATCACGAAAAAAAGGGGAAAATCGTGTTGGTGAACACGAATCAATAGATTAAAAATCGTGTTGGTGAACACGAAATGCCATGAGACTGGGTTGGAATAATGTGTTACCTTGCAAATCTAAACATCAGTTTTGGAAAATACACCTACTGCAATTTGTTGGATTAGATACAGGATTTAAAATAGTAAAATTACATTTTGTGTGCAAACTGCCTTATAAATCGAACACTTTGAATTTTGTCATAAATATTAGGCCTATTGCCTAAAGCATTGCCAATTTTACTGACAATGTTAGCTCTGCTTAAACTTCCCCAAGAAATCTACAGCACAGGCTACAACATTACACTTACCAGACACTTTTGTCCAAAGTGACATTTTTGTGTTTAAAACTTTAAGAAATCACATGGGGAAATGATAGGGTAGTACTTGTAAATTAAGATTCCAATTAATCAATGAACTAATGATTTATTTTTTGGCATATTGCCAAACTCTAACTCTAGAAGTGCTCTTCTTTTACCATTCATCATAACAACGGTAATATACAACAACAAAAACCAAAAGCCTATAATCATTTCCCAGCTATAGGTGGAACGTTTTGATATTCATAACCAGAGCTCTAAAGTAACTAAGTTGATTTCCTCAAGTACTTTGCTTAATTACAATTGGAGGGACGTGTACTTTACTTTAGTATTTCAATTTTTTGCTACCTACTCCACTTCAATTCAGAGGTAATTCGTGTACTTTTACTCCACTACATTTATTTAATACTTTCAGTTACTTTGCAGATTTGGATTAATGATTTAAAATATAAACAACACTCAAATAAGACTTAGTTCAACTTGGAGTAAATTCACAAGCTACCCTGCAGCATACTTCTAAAATTAGTTGCACCTGTACGAGTTTTGATGCATCATTCATCTTAATCAGAATATATGATATCATTCTGAAATGGACCAATCTGCATAATGACTACTTTTTACTTTTGGCATATTTTGATGCCAATACTTTTCTTCTTTTGCTCGAGTAACATGTTGATTGCACGACTTTAGTATTCCTAAACGCTGGCACTTTACTTGTAGCCTAGTCTACAATATCTGAGTAGTATACTTCTTCCACCTTACTTCATAACCAATAACAGTTAGCCATACAGGCAACAAGAAGTTGCCTCGCTGGCACTTTACGAGACCGTTTGACTTTTTTTTCTTCCCGTCTTCCAACATAGGAAGAGTATTTGTTTAACTGTACTAACAGTGAGTGGGCTTCACCAGACTCAGACCTCAGACCCAGCACTTCTCTTCATGTTCCATGCTGTTCTTTCAGCAGACACTCCCCCATCTTGTGTCACACACCCTCTGTCTGAAGAGGACAGGAGGACTGCATTACTGCCACAGGCTATTCAAACAGGACGACTCCACTGCCAAGGTAAATAT